GCGCCTGGCAATTCTTCTGATCCGAATAAAGGAATAGGATAGACGCCACGAGCCGACAAGACACCATCCACAGGATGAACCTCCTCACTAGCACAAAGTCTGGGTAACACTTCCTCATACACCCTTAACAGCAAACCAGACTCTTCAACCTGCGCGCGCAAGACAGGCAGCACTTCCTCCACCGCAGTCAGACGCACGGCGCGAGGTGCCTCCTCTGAAGACCGAAGGAGCGGGGCCGTACCACAGTTTTCGGCAGGGGCCCTTGCACGACATGCATCTTCTGCTTTTAGCATATCTCCCCGTGGCTCGTACAGTTTCCAAGTCATGCTGAACTCACACCCCGCAAGGCACCGGTTGATCTCGCGCTTCCGAAGCGACGGCGCATGGCGGACACCGAACTCAGCANTCCTCGGTTTCGGCGCCACTAGGAAGCACAACGTCTTGAGCCCTGAGCACGCCTCCCCGTGGCTCGTACAGCTTCCAGGTCTCCTTGAACTCACACCCCGCAAGGCACCGGTTGATCTCGCGCTTCCGAAGCGACGGCGCATGGCGGACACCGAACTCAGCACATAGACTGCCGAGAATAAACTCAGCATTCACCACGGAGCCCCGGGGGATCCCGACCGCACTGCACACGTCTGCGTCAAACGCCTCGCAAAGAGCAGCGCGCTTCTGCTCGACAACAAGGTCCCAGTCATCGCCCTCAAACCGCACACGGTGCTTTGTCACCACAAGCTCCTCTTTATGCGGAAAGGAAGATACAACCTCCAGAGGAACAATGTCTTCCTTTAGAGGATATCCACCAAGCACGCGGCAGTTGGGTGAGAGAATTTTTATTTCTGTCAGGGGATCATCACTATTAACAGCAAGGGCCCCATGAGGTGAAGCTAGTCCTGTAATAGCTTTGGGTTTGGGGGTCTCGTGCTGAACACTTTTCGGCGGGGTTAATGGTTGTGCCGTATTTTCGGATGATGTGTCCCCAATAGGAAGTGCTTTGTGGCCCGTCTCGGTTAGACAGTTATCGTCTGTGTGTTTGGCGCTGGGTGCTGTTTCTTTCTTTGTGTTGTCTTTCTCTTCCGCCTTTTTGTCTGAATTGTTTTCGATGCACTTCGTTTTTTGGGTGTATAGATTCCAGACACGGCTGTATTTGTGTTCCAAAAGCTGTCGATTAATTCTTGTCGGCGTCATGTTGATCTCGTGTGCAAATATACATCTGGCGGAAAGTGTTTGGTCATCAAAACTAAGCTGAAGTTCAGCCTTTGCAGTCCTCTCCGTGGCGTCGTATACGTCGAGTGCAATAGCGGTTTTAAGCTCCTTTTTGTGATGTTTTAGAATCTCTCCCCACTCCAATCCGGGGAAGCTTAAAAGGTGGCTTCTCGATGCTTGCGGAGAGTTTGGGTTAGGGGTGATGTTTGTCGTTGTGAAATCGTCTTCAGCAGCGGCAGCCTTGTTAACGGAGAAACTCTCCTCTTGTGCAGATTTGCCAGGCGTTGATTTGTCTAATTCACTTTGGCTTCCGATTCCCGGTGAAGTTCGCGATATACGTGGTGCTTCTTGGTCGTTTGTACCGGGTATATCGGGTAGTTTTGTTTTTACTTGGTAGTACAATGCCCATACATCCGCATAGTCGTGAGCGAGTAGTGTGCTATTCACGTCACTTCCCGAGATGTTTTCAGTGTGATGAACCGAGAACTGAACTGTAAGAGACCCGAGATAGAAAACTATTCCGAATACATCGGCGCAGGAAACATCTAATGCTTTTGCAGTCTCACTGTTAAATGCATTATAAAGCTCGTCATAGTATTTCTCGAGAACCAACCCCCATTGATCCCCTTTGAAACACAGTTTGTGGTGTGTTGTCAACAAGGCATTGGAGGAGCCTTTAGAGGTTTCTAGGTCTCCATTTTCGTTGTGGGGCAGTTCCTCACAGGTTGTGGCCCTCCGCAATGTCTCGACCTCTGCATCAGTTTGGAAAGTGCCCTGAGGAATTGTTGGTATCGGTGATACTTTTTCGCCGTCCCCATATCCTATTTGCTTGTATTGGGTGCTCGCCTCGGCAAGGGAAGCCTCCATAATGGTTTTTGCTTGATTGCCTTGAAAAGAAAAACAATTGTATGCTTTGCTTCTTCAGAAGAAGCTCCCTCTTACCAACAACGGTCCTTTTTGTTTCAACCCTTTTCGTTGGTTGTTTAAAATTCTGTTTTACGAATTAAAAAGGAAAATAAGGAAGCAAAAACACAAGCTCAGAAAGGGTAAAAATAGAAAAACAATTACACACAATACATATTTCTTAAACATACCAAGCAAAGAACAAAAAGAGCATCATATATATACTGTTTACTCAAAAAAGTAGAAGATAACAGCAAACAATTACCGTATCTTCAGTCTGTTTTCACTTCTGACGATCGCGCTTTCTCCAATGAGCTGCAGTTTTGGTTTTCTTCCGGTCCGAATTATCATCCACCACTCTGTCATGTGTGTCATCACCACCTATGGCCTCGTGTATCTCTTTCCCCAATGCATCCCTTCCAAAATGTGGGATGTCAACGACCCATGGAATATCATGGGAGGAAAGAGGATGATTCTTAAAGTCAGCACCTCGCTCTCGCATCTGAATAGTGCTTGCGTACGGGTCTGGATTCAGAGGATCATATGTCAGGAACAAAGCAGGTCCTTCTTGAATTTCCTTATTTTTCCCTCCCTCGATATACACTTCCACCAAGCCATCCCCTTCTATGAATGATGGAAAGGGTACTGGTTTAGAAGGAGTTGTTGTAAAAAGACCTTTTTCTGAAAGTTTCATAAACGAGCTGCTGTCGTACACAACACCAAGCTCGTATGAGCGAATGGCCAGTTGTGTTCCATTTTTTTGCCATTCGCCCCAAGCTGCGCGAGACAAATTTGCGCTTGTTAGCATAAACCACTTTAGTCCGTCTTTCCTTTCGGTTAGGCGCATATACGTTTTTAAATGCGGCAACACCCGACTTCGTGAGGTTCCCGTTGAACAAGAATTCTTTGCAAGTTGTCCCCATTTGTGTAGGCGTTCATTAATGCAGGGATGACAGCAATGCAATTGTAAAGGTAAAGAAAGGCCCCCACACCAACCTTCTATACTATCTTTTACTTCATTTTCCGTTGGATACACCACTTGAACCACGGGACGAGACTGCTTTAACTGGTTCTCAGTGGTGGCTTCAGTTATCATCGCATCTTCAAATGCAGTCAAGAAAGAATCAGTTAGTTTTCCTTGTGAGCTAAACTGCCATGTCAAAATAGGTGGCTGATTATTCTGGTGTGGTACAAAATTCATACTTTGTAGTATCTTTTTAATTTTACCCAACCCAAAAGAACCTGCATCAGGACCACGATGGTACCCTGGAACCGAAGCAATGAGCTCGACACTAGCTTCAGCAAAATCAAATTGGTCCAAAAGCGTGTTTGGGATCCCACCATGATCACTTGCACTGAACAACACATTATAGTGATCCAAGTACTTATATAGCTCATTCTTGAATCTACATCCCCGTGTATCCTTTGAGGGCCCTGGCAAGAAATTTACCATATCTTTCTCAGATGTATACCGAATTCTCGGGAAGTCTTGTACGTAAATTCCCTGACTCTTTTTTGTCCAATCGTCAGGTATTAGATTAGCAGTAAAAACTGCTACACGTATGCCCTTAGCATTCACACACAAAGCAAATTTACTGTGATGGACCCCAAAAGGAATAGGCAAATTGGGTTCCACAACCTTGACCCTACCGTTTTTCATGCCTGCATAGACTGATGATGATGATGCAAACTTCTTGGCATATCCTTTTTCACCTGAAACGATTAAAAGTTCCTCCTTGATATGCAATAGGGACGGCACAACTCGAAAAATCCAATTTATGTCTATCATATAACTTGCCAACAAGACGTGGGACCAAACCTCATCCTGGTCCTGCACATTACAGTACAGTATATCCGACAGCGTTAGCGCAGATGGCGAATCAACATCCAGTGCATCTACCTTATTTACCCAAAAGGGGCACAATGGTTTCATTACCCTAAAAATTAGGGTGGAAGGATGCGGCTCTGTTGTTGCTCGCACAGAACAAGCTCTGGCCTTCAGGAAACCTTGTGTTTCCTTTAAAACAGGGAGAAAAAGAAGAAAACGTCAAAAAGAAAACAAAGAAGGAAGAGGAAATGAGAATTATTAATTGAGAGCACCGTGTATCAAACCGCGAAAACACAAATGTTAGACGTCACTAAAAGGTGGTACTACCTATACTCAAGAATGAAAAAAAACACAAGCAACGACACCATAAGAACAATAAGAGAAAGAGTATTTTTTCTTTCTTAGTTAGCAGACACAGTGTCTCTCAACAGCCGATCTGTCCTCTTCTGGAGCTTCATCTAGTTTCACCCGAACACCACGAGATTTTGGTGGAGATGCGCCTAAGCCTATAGGCATTTTGATTGTCATCCCATCTACCTTGTTCCGTGTGATTTGGTGTAATGTTTGATCCGTTTCGACAATCTTTGTCGCCACATCGACTGCTATTCCCTCGAATGGTTCAACTGCATGAAGTCCTAGTTTTGCACTAACGCTGTAATGTCTTGCATTTTGACGATGTGCCCATTCCTCGGCCTCCTTAAGAGGAACACAGCGCTGACGTTCTAAATCAATTTTATTCCCAACAATAACGACCGATATGTTTTGATTACCAACTACTTGCTGAAGTTCCTTCAGCCATACCTTTACCTTCAAAAAACTCTCATAGTCTGTGATATCGTACACGAGAACGGCACCATGGGCGTCACGATAGTATATAGGTCCTAAGGCATGGTACCGTTCCTGTCCGGCCGTATCCCATATTGAGAGCTCTGCCGTCACATCATGGGAGACGCTAATTTTCACATTGGCGTACATAGATGCCTTCGTTGTTGATTCGCAGTCGTCGTCAAAGGAATCGTTAATAAAACGCTGAAGCAATGATGTTTTCCCTACGCGACCTTCTCCCAGCATCACTATTTTCATTTTTACATAGCGAGCACTCATTTGGAATAAGAATAACTCCGCAAAAAACGTAAGCTCCGCCACACCTAATATATATATATATATATATATA